CAACGGTGAGGCAGGCTGTGCCCCTGTAGTGCATGGAGGTCCATGGTGGAGCAGATCTCCACCTGCAGCCCATGGAAGGGTCCCCACGCCAGAGCAAGTGGATGCCTGAAGGAGGCTGTGACCCCATGGAGAGCCTGCGCTGGAGCAGACTCCTGCCAGGACCTGTGGCCCCATGGAGAGAGGAGCCCGCAGCAGGTTTGCTGGCAGGGCTTGTGACCCCGCGGGGGACCCATGCTGGAGCAGCCTGTTCCTGAAGGACTGCACCCCGTGGGAGGGACCCGCACTGGAGCAGTTCATGAAGAACTGCAGCCCATGGGAAGGACCCACGTTGCAGCAGTTCGTGGAAGACTGTCTCCCATGGGAGGGACCCCTTGCTGGAGCAGAGTGTGAGGAGTCCTCCCCCTGAGGAGGAAGGAGCAGCAGAGACAGGGTGCGATGAACTGACCGTAACCCCCATTCCCCGTCCCCCTTCACCGCTCGTGGGGAGGAGGGAGAGAAATGGGAGTGAAATTGAGCCCGGGAAGAAGGGATGGGTGGGGGGAAGGAGTTTTAAGATTTAGGTTTTATTTCTCACTATCCTGGTCTGATTTGATTGGTAATAAATGAAATTAATTTTTCCTGAGTCGAGTCTGTTTTGCCTGTGATGGTAATTGCTGAGCCATCTCCCTGTCCTCATCTCAACCCAGGAGCCTTTCATTGTATTTTCTCTCTGCTGCCCTCCAGCTGAGGAGAGGAGTGACCGAGTGGCTTTAGTGGGCACCTGGCATCCAGCCAGGGTCAACCCACCACACAACAGGCTCTGTGGCCCTTTAGGCTTGTGGCTGAAGGTTGTCCTATACAACCATTTCTCAACATCAAGTGGAGGCTGCAAGTGGGAAAATATAACCAAGGCTCTGCAGACTTCTGGCTGCAGAAGCACCAGCGGCTACAAGACCTGTCCTGCAGTCTTTAAAAAAATTTCAGTTTCTCATCAACAGAGCCCATAGACCAGGAGCCATCTTCACTGCTGTGAAATCCCTGCTGCCTCACTGCCAGACTTCTAGGTATGAGAATGTGTCGCTGTCTTTCAAAATAGCTTTGCGGGAATTTCATCCATCTGATCTTCTGGCTGGCTAGAATTTGCCCATTGCTCAGGATCTGCTGGAGATTTTAGTCAAATCCTTCATCCCCATTTTCTCTGGGCAGGACTTTCTTCTCCCATTCACATAGTTCTGCTCAATGTGGGATTGGCAAAAGCAGGTATAAACATTGCTCTTTTCTAAATCCTCTTGCTACTCAGGTAAGGAAGTAGCAGCTCAGCCTTGGGAAAAGAGACCTCAAGGTAAATTTCTCAGTCTGTGTTTAGGTATCTCCATGGCCTGATTTCCACCAGTGCTGGTTTCCACTGATTTTAGTACCTTGCTGGTGACCCAACACATCTTTCATTTCTGTCCCAATTTGTTCAGCTGGAGGCTCAGAACTAGTGTAACTCCAGTCATGGATTGATAGGTGACATTAGAAAGGGATGGTGCAGTTCTTATGGCCATTAGCAAAAGCCCACTCACAGCCATATTAATTTTCCATGGAGTAACAAAATTCAGTCTTCCCTTGTGTAGTGCTTGCACACATCTTAGAATCCTAGGATCATCTGGTCCAAACCCCCTGCCGAAGCAGGGTCTCCTATAGCAGGCTGCACAGGACCTTGTCCAGGCAGGTTTTGAATATCTCCAGAGAAGGAGACTCCACAACCTCCCTGGGCAACCTGTTCCAGTGCTCCGTCACCCTCAGAGGGAAGTTCTTCCTCATGTTCAGATGGAACTTTCTGTGCTTCAGTTTGTGCCCATTGCACCTTGTCCTGTCGTTAACATTCATGCTGCTTATGTCAATGGTTTCCTTCCTTGCCTGTGCTTTATTACATAGTAGTATCTTCACGCTTTACTATTCAGCTCCTTTGAGACTGATGTTGTACTGACTGTGTATTACTTCTCTAGAAAGCATTAAAGCCCTAGTGCTGATGTCTTGAAGAGCTTAATTTAAACTTCTGCTTGAGCTCTAATTGCAGACATGGAGGATAGAAATAGCTCTTTAATGACAAAGTCACTACCCTGCATATTTAAAAGCATATAAGCATATGTCTGATAGGATATAAGCCAATTGATATTCCCATTATTCTTTTTTATCTGCAGCATAAAGGAGTAGCTTGGTAACCATTCTTCGTGAGAACATCTTTTTCCAGCATCCTTCCCGGTATAAATCAGCAATATATCCATTTCTGCAGCTGTCCCTCAGCTCCTCAAGTAAGTCACCAGCTCACCAGCTGTAATGGTAGCAGTGCAGGAATACCCAAATAGGCCAATAACCTTGTTTTCCAGGAGAAGTCTGCCCATAGGTAGAGGTCATGATGAGCTGCAAAATCAGGGGACAGCAAAAGAAGTACTGAGCTTTCCGTCTGGGATGAGTTTTGTGAGATGCTGTGGCCCGATTACTACTCGTACTCAAACTTGACAGCTGATGAACTTGCTCATGCATCAGTACTAGCTGCAGCTACGGCAGTGGCTGGGGGGGTTTACGTGCCACTGCAGCCACAGAGGGGTACGCTTTCTCTCCTGCTAGGCAAAGCTTGCAGGAGTAGGAGATGGGATGAGGACAGTACATGATAGAACACACAGCTCTGGAAACTTCTCAGATGTCCCTCCTCACACCTCCCAGCCATTCTGTGTCCTGGGAACACATTTACTTTTTGCTCTTGCAAAACAAAGGAGCTTGGTATCCTCACAGATCCGCGCAGACCTCGGAGCTGGGGCCTGGTGGGAAGGTGACCATATGCTCTTGGTGGTTATCTCAGGTCTTATTTTGAGTTTGAGGAGAGTCTGGCTGCCCATGGCTCCTTAGGCAGGTCTTCCAAAAGAAGCATTTGAGACTAAGAGAGGGGAAGACTAGTGCGGAAAAGAAAATATAAAATAAAAACATTTTTGGAGTAAAGTTTAGTGCATTTCTTACATGATGAGTAACACAACAAATAAAATCTAGTGAAGCAGGACAGGATTTAAAATATTGCACAAGTTTCCCAAGTTAGAAAAGACAAAAGGAAAACAATTTGCATTTTGGTAGTCAACTTATTATGGGACACTTGGCTCCTATACACAAAGTGAAATCTGATTTGACTTTGCTTAGTATTTGTGTAACTGACAGTGTTAATTTGAGTGTACCTCAGAGGTTGAGTGCTAGCCTGAACTCGACGGAGAAAGCTCTGCCTGATGCTCAGGAGATCCTGGGGAAGAACAGGCACATTTACTTGCAGAGGGCAGTCTAGCAGAATGATTAGGTTTCCGTCTAATTGACAAAATTCACTTTAACAGCAAATAAATTTTATAAAGTAGCCTCAGAAGATACAAAATATCAGAACTAAAAGCAGTTTGTTGTTGTTTTCCTTTTTAAATGCTTAATAATTTCAAATTACTTCAGCTACTGGTTATGTTTCACCTTGAATGAACTTCTCATTTCTCTTCACCCAAGAAAAAGCATCTCTCTGATCTTGTCTTTCCTTGATACAGCATTTCCTTCCTTCCTTGAGGAGAAAAATGAGTTGGGCATGCCTATGTGATCTGATGAGTGGAGTCAATAAATATTCAACAGGAATTGGAAGAATTTGGATAGCAGTTGTGTTCATATTCCGCTTATTGCTTTACATTGTGGCTGCAGAAAGCATCTGGAAATACGAACATGATGAATTTGAATGCAACATCAGGCAGCCTGGTTGTGAAAACGTCTGCTTTGACCATTTTTTCCCTGTCTCACACATCAGACTTTGGGATTTGCAATTAATTATGGTCTCCACCCCTTCACTCTTGGTTGTTTTTCATGTTGCTTACCGAGAGAACAGAGAGAAACACCACAACCAGAAACTTTATAGAAGTTCAGGGGAGCCAGATGGTGGATTGCTGTGCACTTACCTTGTCAGCCTTATTTTAAAAACAGGATTTGAAATAGTTTTCCTTGTTCTGTTTTATAAATTGTACAATGGTTTCAAAGTACCACGTCTTGTGAAATGTGACATAAGACCCTGTCCCAATACTGTAGACTGCTATATTTCCAGACCCACAGAGAAGACGATTTTCCTCTATTTTCTGGTGGCAACTTCATGCCTGTGCATTGTATTAAATCTAAGTGAACTGAGTTATCTCATTTTCAAATACTCCATAAAATGTTATCTGAAGAGATACATCAAGAAACGTCATGGCTCAAAAAGTGATTGCCACAAATCAGAACTCATCAGTCAGAACAGACCAGCAGCTCCCCGTCCTTGCCCTCTGAATATACAAGATGAATGTGAAAAATGTTCCCTGTTGACTTGAGAGAAAGTTAGAGATCACCTTCCCTACAGGGGAAGCTGGGTTTGACGAACTGCTTCTTCAATCAGTGCTTTACAGAACTGAAAGGATAGTTACGTAGGAAATACTTTTTCTCTATTAATTCTCCCTTACTTAAGCAGATAAATTCAGTCACATTATGTATAGGATATATAGAATTATATAGATCTTTTAATGTTGAAACAAGAGGTGTAGAAGTCTGAAAATTCCATGAAGTTTTAATATAAATACAGATGCTTATGATAAGTCATGCTGAAACAATTGCTCAAACAGTTGTGTTTTGAATATTACACGGAATTGCTTTGGTACAAGCAGAAAGAGGCTTTTTATATGCAGAGTTCAAGAACATGGGATTGATTTAAGACGCTGAACAGTAAGGGGGTGTACAGCCTTTGTCAGGTGAGTGGATACGGTAACTGTTGAAATAGCAATCGGAAAGCGCTGGCGTACAGTGGCTGCTGGTGTTTTGAAGTGAGCTGGATGGTCATAAGCCCACTCCACTGGACTACCGTAAAACATCTCGAAAAAAGAAAAAAATAAGATGAGGTAGACACATCTAGTTTAGCCCATGGTGATAAAGACAGACCTGGTTATTTAGCTATTTATTGAGCACCTCCTTCTGGAGGTATCTGAGCCCTTTACAGTTTTAGGGTCTTCATCATCAGAACCCATCCTGTAAGCAAAGGTACTGGCCCAAGTTTGTGCAGGCAGCATACGCCAGAGCAGAGAGTTAATGCCTGGTCACCTGCACCGGGCTGCTCCCGAGTCATTAGACTTTGCTTCTGTTCTGTGGTTGTGGCATTTAAGGGAAAAGATCATTCCCAGTTTTCTAGTATCCAAGTAGAGCAATGTCAACCGCACAGCATGGCAAAACAGTAGCCAGTAGTCCTAGCATTCAGTAGCTTGGAACCAGGTCCCTTTAGTAAGGCTGAGAATACTGCTCCTCCTTCAGTAGATTTCTCTGCCGTAGAAGAACATGGGAAATCTAAAAATACGAAAAGCTTCCAGCAGAGGCAAAGTGAAAAAGAGTCACCTATTCCCTCCCTGCACAGTTCAGAATATTAAACACCACACACCTCTGCTCTTTGCTATGGGTGTCTCTCAGGCTGACAGGAAAGGGATGGAAATCAGCTACGATGTGTCTTCTGTTGAACCTAGACTCCCAAGATGATAGAAATTAGTGCCTAAAATGACTTATTTCAGGGTAGCTTTGTTCTCTTTCCATTGCTGGGATGAAAGACCTTTGGACATATATCAGTACTGAGCCTGATCAAAATACACTCTTCAGAGAAAAACACCGCCTGCAATAAGGGGAGCTGCCTGACTGTTGAGCTGATTTTATTGTTCACGCCAGGATGAAGAGGAGGAAACAGTAGCAAAAACATGTGAACTATTATAGCTGCCTGAATGTTGAACCAATTTTATTGTTTGTGCCAAGACAAAGAGTAGGAAACCATAGCAAAAGCATGTTAACTGTTTTTTCACTCAAAAAAAACCCCCAGCTTCGGTTACAAAGCATTACTTTTATGAGTCCTGGGGTAGCAGTTACGGAATTAAGAACTAATGAATAAACTATGTGCTTTTGTCTGTGATTTTCAAGCTTTTTTCCTAAAACAAACCTGCTTTTATAAAAGGTGAAAATATATTTGCTGCTGAACTTAGAGCGACAGCAATCCCTCAGATATTAGCCACAGCTTGTGGCCAGTTAAAGTCTTACATCTTGAGTAATGCTGCATCCGCATACGTCGAGGCAACACACTTCACACAGTTGGGAACATTTTCTGTTAAACCTCTACATGCACAGAATGCGGCTTGTGACAGAAATGCAGTCAGAAATTCTTTTGCTGCTACTGGACAAAACCCACCAAGAAGCCCATGAAGCAAAACGACTGCCCGCCAGCCCTGTGTAACTCTGACGGCCACAGTTTGAGTGACCGAGAGCAAAACCCCAAATTATCCTGGCTCTTTTGTACCCTAATGTATCATTTTTTAAGACAAGGGCAACTCTATCAAAATAAGAAATGCTTCCAAAATTACTGTTTTTTAATTATTGAGGACAGATTTTAAGACAGCACATTAATGAAAAAGTATTTGTTTTTTTAAAGTAAGGTTTATTTGAGAGAAAACAAAGAGAAGCAAACACAGTTTAGCCAACACAGGTTTCTGATTAAATTTGTGCCTTAGCTGCTCTCTAATAAAAAAAGTGTATTAAGTCAGGGCTTGAAGGGTTTTAGAGCATCCGCTGAAGATCTGCGGCTGGTCAGAGCTTCCCGCTTAGACCGAAAATTCTCCTGTGAAACAGTAACTTTAATTCTTTGGAAAGTATATTCAAGGTTTTATTTCCAATTCCTATCTTCAACAGCCATGAAATGATAAACAAATTCCAAAGTCAACAGGTTTCAAGTCTCGGAGGACACTTCAGTTTTGACAAAGCCAGTACCTTACATGAGAAATATTCTGAAAAATTATTACGGACCAACTCTGTGTAACCCCCTACTCACTCGTAGCAAACCGACAAGTGGCTTTTACACCATGTGCTGCAGAACTAGAAGAGCGTTTGACAGAGCCACTATTGAAAAGGAAGTGAACATCACACAAGGAAGCTCTGTCAGATTTTACTTAACCTGAGAGAACAGAAACAACCTCACCCACTTTCTAAACCCTTGCTCTTCGCAAGCATTTGGTTTTTCACTGGCTCCTTCCCTTCCACAGCCCTTTCCCCGCCTTTATACTCCTTTGTGCTCTGGTTTAAGTTTCACTCATCCATCCATCCCTGAAGTCGTTTGCTTTTACATTTTTGGTTCAAATGAGCTTGTAGTCTCAGTCCCTAAACTAAAGGTTTAAGGGCTTTTTTGTGTATTCAACTTCCACGTCACTCAAACAGACAAAATAAAAAAAAAGATTCAAGTGCTATGTTTTTTTCCTTTTTGAAGCGTAAAACTACAGTCTCCTCAAGCACATAGCAATTGGTAGGAAGCTGACCTGAGCCCATACTGTAATGAAGAAGTAGCAAGACCACTCCGTGCACATTCATACAAAACTATTTACCTTATATTTCAAAACGTGTCTGCAAACACTAAAAGATCCAAAACCTACATAGATCCTAATTTTCTTTAAAACTTAGGTAATCTCCTTGCCTTCTGACACATGATGTTTGGGGAAAAAAAAAGGGGTCACAGAAAAAAATATTTCCCTATTTGCTGATAGTTTCCTCCTTCTACTGCCATCCCCAGTACCCCCGGCCCTTCTTCCCACCTCTCCAACAGGACCATCTTCTTCACACCCGAGGCTCCAGCCAGGGGCAAGCACAGTAGGAGCAGGAGCTCCTCCAGCCTGGGGGGCCTAAACCTCGGGGTAGTGTGGCCCTGCCTGCGCAGCTGGGAGCCCCAACCAACTAATTCTTTGGCACAGAAACTAATTGCAAGAATCCTGCTTTTTCTCACCTGAACCAATGACTGTTTTTCTGTCTCAGTTCCACAAGCATCGCTCCCTCGCTATCCAACAGCCACAGACGGGACATCCCAGCAGAATGCTCTAGGACCGACTGTCCCCCTACCCTGCTGAGAACGGCCACCCCAAAACATGTGAGGACAAACCCAGTAGTACTCTTATTCACACTGAATTAGGGCTCAGACAACAGTTAACCCTAAGAGAGGCTGACTGTCAGCTTAAAGATGTCTTTCAATCACAAACCAGCCCGTACTCTGCATCCAGACTGATTTAGCTGCTTCCCCATCAGTGACAACTGCTGCTTTACTCAGCACATTCCTGATGGTGACGAGGAGTGTAAAAGCAAGCATCTTGGCTCAAACGCACCACAGTGCATGCGTGACATGTCTGGAGGACAGAGACACAGGGGAGGAAAGAGAAGGGAGAGGAGATGGCCCCAGGTGCCGGGGCAGCCACCAGGCTGAGGTGCTGCTGGTGGAGCTGGGCTCAGCCACCCTGCAGCCCCTGTCCCGCCGGCAGCCCCAGGGGCACGGCTCCAGACTCCAGAGGAACTGTCAGCTCAGGCAGGCTGGCACAGCTACAGCAGGAGCTATTATACATCACTCCAGTTAAAATATCTAAATGCAAATACCAGATTTACTTCCTCGGGCACTTTTGTAAGTGGCTTTGCCAAACCACAGTGCCCTCTGCAGTCCATGACATCTTAAATCAGACCCTGCTTTCGGTCCCCCCTTTAAGTTTAAAATACTTTTTTTAAAAAGGAAAAAAAACCCCAACCATATTAGGTTACCTGTTGACCCCATACTAGGTTACCTGTTGGACAGGCTGTCAATACCCACGTAAAAGGGAGCGTGCCATGGAAGGCACTGACTATATTGGTACAGCACCCACTTTAATTGCATTAGTTGGGACAAGAATGAGACAATATCAAAAATCTCATTTCTCAGAAATTTAAATCCTATATTCAGATCCAAACCAGAAATTATTTCCTAGACACTTGTGACATTGGATTTTTTTTTTTGTTTTAAAATAGCGTTCTAGTATAGCCCTGTGTAGCTAAATAGTTGCATGCTATTCTCAGTCTAAAAACTGCAAATGATGCAGTGTCTATTATTGGGAATGTCTGTGTTGAAACTATTTAACTTACACCACATAAAATTCTTCTAAAAACTAACAGTTGTGAGGTCTGTCGACAGTGACTGCAGTGGTTAGGTACATCTGAAAACAAAGTATTTCAGGCAAGCTTTGTGGATCCTCACCAGAGGAGGTTCTCCGCCCTCTCCTCCCCTGCAGCAGATCTCCTCTGCAGTCCCTGCGGCTGGCATCCAACAGCAGCTCCGTCCAGGGAGACCGTGCAGCCTCTGGTAGGTAGAATGTGGCATCGTACGCTTATAATGATCTCTCCTGGAGTTAAAACGCAAGGATTTGCTTTGGTTTTGTCATTCTCAGACCGCACCTTTGACTTACTAACTTGGCAGAAATATCAGGTTAGTCACTCAGGAGGGATCGAAAGCGAGAGGAGCAAACGGGCTCCATTCAAATGGAAGCACGGGCTTTCTGAGAAGGTATGCAATGTAGCACCAGATAGCAAACCAAGGGCTATGCCCAAGTTGAAATGCTGTTGCCTTTCCACTTTTTCACATATAATCCTCGCTCTAATAACAAGTCACTTCATTTGGTTGTAGGAATGTGCCCTCTGCATTGATATTCAAGTAAACTGTCAAAGATTCCAGGTGAATAGCTTAAGAGCAATCAAGTGTAGCATTTAATGCAAAGCTTTACATGGCAAGACAAGTTTATAGAAAAGATCAAGCCAATCTCTCCCAAGATAAAGACTATTTTATATTACTGAAGGTAGGTCACATCCAGTAATGAGAATAATCCAGGAAAAATTTTTGGTACTGCACAATCCAGCTGGCTTGTCCCATCCGAGTTAAGCATGACCACGCATGAAAACCAACACTGGAGACTCCTGGGCACTGACAGCTCCCACCAAGGCATTCACGCTTCTGGTTACTCAACAAACTGGACACCTGTCGTTTCGGTTAGCAGCATACAGAGGAATTGCTCCAGTCCCGGGCACTACAAGCGGCACCGCTTCCGAGGCTCGTTCCAGTGTGGAAAAGAGAGAGGTGGCGAGAGTGCTGCCAGGCAGAGTCAGCAAGAGGCTGAAGAGCGCAGAGGGAGCCTGTGCCATCAATAGAGCACAACCACCGAGTTTATCTGTAAGATCACAATCTCACTTCCCTTTCAGAAAGTGCCTTGTTTATTCAGTTTTTAACGGTATGGCATAAGGACTCACGTATTTTATAGATAGATACCAAACTGGTATTATCAAAATAAACCATCTGTTTTATAAACCCACTATTTACAAAAACTGTTTCTGAAGTTTTTTTGTTTTGTTTGTTTTTTTAACAAAAATTAAACTATACACCAATCTAAGTTACAGAAACAAAAATAACCTTTATAAGATCACATGTATAAAACAAGAAATGAAATGTGATTTTATTTAAGGCAATACTGGGCTACTTCACAAATCACCACCTCAAATATATACACTGCTCCACACTACTAATTTTCTATCACATTCACAACGGATTCTTTAATACCAAATATTGTTTTAAGTCTTCAATGTAGCAAACTATTTTTATTCACATTTCCATTTTTATTATGGAATCATAAATGCTTTGTATCCAATTAAAAGCAATGAAAAATGTAGCTATAAGAAAACTATTATATTTATGAGTTAACTACATACGAATATCATCCATAGATACTGGATGTTAAAATTTACAAAAATGAGAGCGTGTCAGTACATTTAACCTATGAAATGTGATCTTATCCAGCTCCTCTCCTGTAAATAAATGCTTTATGCAAAATAAACTGGATATGGCAGACTTAGCTAATTTTAGTTCAAAAGTTCTTAATTTAAAATGATTAAAGGACAGTTTTAAAAACTTGCTCACTTAGTTACAAATTAAAATTCCGAATATAAATGTGTCATTTAATAGTTTAGACTTACAGACTGCTGGTGGCAGCAAATGATTTACAATAATAAATATATACAAAAAAAATGTATCTACAAATAAAGAGTACTGTTATACATGAGCAGTGACCTGGTGAAAGATACCAATCACAGACAACTCACAAAGATTTAGTTCATGGAAAGGACAATCTGATAGAAAGTTGAGGTTTTGATCAAGTATTTACAAAACTGAAGCAATTACTCTGTTCTTCAAGTCCCATAGGGATAAAAACAAATAAGAAATTTACATGACTTATGTCATGTTTTTTGCTAGATTAAATCACTTCAAAATAAAAGAACTCCACAGTTACTAGCATGCTTGATGGCTTCCTAGTCAAAATAAATTTTATTATAGGTCACGGCTAAACACATTGGGTTTTCAGTATTTTGACTCTCCTTCCTCGGTACTCAGGACAATTACTTTTGCAGCTGTAACCTCTGGATTATCCTCCCAACGTCCTTCGAGCTTTCTCAAACTGACGATAGGTTTCATTTCCTGAAGTTGCTTCAACACACGCTCAGTGCAGTCTTTGAGAGTCTTGTCTAAAACTATCTTTACATTATCACCACACAGAAGCCGTGATGGGTTGGCAAACGGTACCAGGGTTTCGGTTTCAGAACATGACCAAGTGACATTATTACTTGCTACAGAGGTCTTCTCGTTGGATTTTCGTGAGTTCGAATGGGATCCTTTTTTGGCTCCGTTGCTATGGTAGTCTCTTTCGGTATTTTTCTTTTGCTTCACAGCAGACTCTTCAAGGAACTTGAGGAATGACACTTCAAAACCCATTGGCTTAAACGAGCTCCAGTCGAAAGCCGCGGGTTGCTCTTCGGCTGTTTGAATGGCGACAGCAGTCTCTTCCTCCTTGTGCACGCTACTCACGTCAATGGGCACTACTTCCTCAGTTTTTTCAGCTCTCCTCTTCTTATTCTGAGACAGATTTTTTTCTTTGTTTGCTCTTTTTAAGTTACCTTTTTGCTTTTCTGAGGGGCAGGAGGTGGTCTCCTGCAAGTCGCTATTTACACTGGAAGAGATTTTTGCTTGATTTTCAGCACTTGAACAATCCTCGTTAATCAGTTTAGTAATGAATAGTTCTGTCAGTTCGTCCACTTCATCTTTCTCACCTTTTTCAGTTTCCTTTTGTGGTAATGTAGATGTGCTTGAATCATTATTGCTCACTATCAAACTTGGTTCAGGCTCTTTCACATCACTTTTTTTATCAGTCTCCTCCTGCTCACAAGAGGCCTCCTTTACTTGTGGGATGGAGTGCTTTTTAGATACAATAAGAAGATTTCTGTGTTGGGAAGTAAATGCTTTGGACAGCTTGTGACATTTATAATGTCTTATTATGTTACTTTCGCTTGTAACTACGGATGAACATCCCTTTATCATACATGGATACTGAGTTATGAACCTGCTCGTACATTCCGACAAAGCATCGTTTCTAGCCTTTATTGAATACACGTTCTTGCCACGTTTCAGCGAATAAGCCTTATTTTCTTGAACTTGCATTCCTTTTGAGTTTTTGTTTTCCAAGTTCACATTTTTCTTTCGTTTTGTTTTCACCGACAGCCTGTTACCTTCTTTTCCTGATCTGTTTTTTAGCCCTCTCTGTTTGGACTTCAATGGTTTCTCCTGATTTGCTTTGCTTGAAATGTTTTCCTGACCTGGTGTCAGTCTCCTGGGTCTTATTAGATGATCTTTATGCTTGTCATTATGTTTATTAAAAATATGCCTCAAGAGGTTAGACCTAGTAGCATAAACACGGTCACAGCCTTCACAGTCACACTTGAATACGCCGTCATCTTCTACTTTGTTTGGCCTTATCTTAATACCGTGATCTGCCTCAAGATGTACAACGTAGTTAAGATATGCTGTAAACGAAGACTTACATTGAGACTGATCACAAGAAAACCTTCCCACTTCTGGAGGCGATTTCATGTTTCCAATTTGCTCTGGGGTCATGTCATGAAGCTTCATATAGTGTTGTATCAAGCTGGTAACTTCCTGGAAGATGCGAGAGCAGTCACTCACCTCACACCTGAATTCTCTGACAGTGGGTTTGGTTTCCACCTCATTGCGTTCCTCTTTGCCTGGCTCATTCTCCTCTTCCACTTCGGCAGAGAAGGCAGGGAGGTCCGATTTATGCACAGCTTGGTAATGAAGGATTAGGTTTTGTTGAATCGTAAACGCTGCGAAGCAGCCCTGATGGACGCACCGGTATGGTCTATAAGGGCTGTATCTGGTAGGAAACTCCAGAGATTTTGTTACAGGCTTCCTACGTTTTTTCTCCTCTTTTTCCTTCCTGTACTTCCTAACCTTGCGTACTATGGGTTGTGCCTGTGTACTACCAAGAGAGGCTGCATGATGCTGCTCCAGTGGAACAGAAACCACATGGGGAGGTTTTTCCAGTCTTTCGGGAATATTATTTTCTGGCAGAAGTTTTTCCAAGACTTTTACAGGCTCTACAACTTCCTTTATCTGAGCTTCTCTGACCAACGGAGCTGCAGCTTTGTTTTCTATTACTAGTGTCTGCAAAGTTTTTATTTCAACAGGTCGCGGGGCTGTGTTTACACTTTCATTTTGAGATCTTCTGCCGTAAGGCCTTTTAATTTTTAATTTTACCATCTCCTCTGTCGTAAAATGATGTACAAGCTGACAGTGTGCTCGGAGATTAGAGTTTCTTGTGAATGTTTTTGGACAGGTAGCTACAACACATTTGAATGGGGCATACTTCAGTTGATGTTTCTTTATTTCTAGTATCATTTCTGCAGTGTACTGATGAACCTTGCCGTAGTGTTTAAATAATGCGTCTTTTGTCATAGCACTATAATTGCAGCCTGGATTCTGACATACAAAAGGCTTATTAACTTTATCACTAAACTGAATGCTACTTGCCTCTGGAGATATCTGGATGATGGGTTTATTTTCACTTGATACCACAGGAACTACCGGTGCTAGCGTATCTGCTGGAGGACACTGGGAAACAGTCTCAGAGACTGGAATGGGTGAATCATTCTCTAGTTTCAGTTTTTGCAAGCCCTCCAGAATTTCCAATATTTGAGTATCATCCTTTTGAGATGTCTCAGACTGAGCAGAGCTACTCTTTGCAGTGGTGACATTCCCTGCATGCAAAACAAACTGTGCGGGAGTGGGTAGTTTTACACTATGTGCAGAATTTCCCACAGAAGCCTGTGCATTATTTACTTGCAAGTTCTGTCCTGAAACAGCAACTGTATCCTGAATTTCAGTTTTCACCTCAAGTATCTGTGAATTCATAGCAGTTTTAATTATTTCCAGGGTTTTTTCAAAGTTCTGCATAACACTGTCTTCTGAAATCTGTTCCTCTGAATTTGCCTGCACACAAGAATTTACAGCCACCATTTGGGAATCCCCGTTTTCAGTTTTTACTGTTAAGGAGGGTAATGTCGTATGAGCCTCAAGATTTGTTTTGAAGTTCTCTTTGATACTGGCCACGAATAACTGATTGTCAACATTATTGAGTTTCTGTGTGAGATCTTCCACCACCACTTGAGAGCCACAATTTGCCAGCAAGTTGGACTGAAAATTTTCTCCCTGTATTTGCATGTTTCCTTCAGTGCTTTTGGTTAGAAGTCCCATTGTCATTGTATTATTTACTGCTACTTCTGGTGACGCATTGGGCGCAAGCAAGGGCGTAGATGCTTTTCTCTTCCTCTTTGAAGCACTCATTCCCTTCTTATTCAAGTTGCTTGATCCTGAATTCTTGGGACTACTTATAACTGAAACTCGTGGACTGTTCCCTGCAAAGTTTTGCGCTGCTGCAACAGTATTAGAAAACGAGCTAGGACATAAGCCATTTTCAACAGTCTTTAGCATTAAGTCCTCTGTTGCAAAAACAGGCAAACTCTTGCATTCATTCATTGGAGGAATTTTGGCATTGAGGGTGCTGTTTTGGTCTGTTAGCAGGGTACTGGGGTTACAGACTGTCTGCAGCAGAGGTGATGCAGCTGAGGTGGGGAGAACAGCTGCATTTATCTGAGTTGTACCAGTGACGCAACTTGTTGTAATTACGTGTGGAAGTACTTCTGTGTTATCGAAGGTACTCGGGATGCCTGCAGTTTCCAAGGCTTGTTTCATAATTTGATTTCCTTCCTCGTTCCCACCAGTATTAAAGTTAGTCACATTGGCCCGTGGAAATATAGTCTGCAGTAAGGCGGTGGAACGATTTTCAGCTGCAAGTAACTGGAGGAATGATGGATCTTTAAAACAAGTCTCTGGATTGAAGG